TTCCAAAGCACGTCTCCCATCGACGGTCGGTCCACCCCAAAATCCGCCAGACATTTCTCCCCCGTCTCCCCGAATTTCCTTAGAGAGTCGGGCCGTATCCGCCCCACGAGCCTCGGGTCGATGATTTGTTCGAGTTGGCCCTTCTTTTGCCACTTCATAACCCATTCGGCCAAGTTCACCTTGTCCCTCGGGAGGGACGGGTCGATCACGGGTCTAGCACAAAGCACCTCGAAGAGGACCACACCGAAAGAGTAGACGTCGGATTTCTCGGTGAGTTGTTGGCGTCTGAAGTACTCGGGGTCGAGATACCCGAAGCTCCCCTTCACGGCCGTGCTCACGTGGGTTTGGTCAATCTCGGGGCCCGTCTTGGAGAGCCCGAAGTCGGCGACTTTGGCCATGAAGTTCTCGTCGAGTAATATGTTGGCGGACTTGACGTCCCGATGTATGACCGCTTTAGCATAACCAGTATGGAGGTAGTGCAACCCGCGGGCCGCACCAATGCATATCTCAAGCCGTTGTTTCCAGCTCATGCTCGGAAGGTCGGAGCCGTAGAGATGACTCTTGAGGGTCCCGTTCTCCATGTACTCGTAGACGAGAATCATCTCATTCCTCTCGTCACAATATCCGATCAACGAGACCAGATGGCGGTGCCGGAATTGGGATAGCATCTCGATCTCCGTCCTGAACTCCGCCATGCCTTGTTGGGATTTGGGGTTGCCCCTCTTCACCGCCACCTTCGTCCCGTCGCTTAGTTCCCCCTTGTAGACCTTCCCGAACCCGCCCACCCCGATGACCCAACTCTCGTCAAAGTTGTTTGTTGCTTCTTGAACAGCCAGAAACGGGACCCGGTAACTCAGGTTGGAGCCCGCCACGCTCACGGTTGTCCCGTTCGAGTACTTGCTTCCCATCGTGTGGGACCCGGTCATAGACAACGGGATCCACGTCTTTGATTGCCCAAGTCGGACCTGTTTCCTCCTCCGGTGAATGCAAAACAGAACACAAATCATGGCCAAAACAACCGGTACCCCTACGCCAAGTCCCACTATCATTCCCATGTTCTTTGAGCCAGATGTGGTGGATCCAGCCACGAGGTCTGCAATTCCAAGACTACCCTTGGAGTTGTTCATCTTCATGATCTCCAAACCATTTATGAATGCATCAGAGAAAGCACTCCGAGGAGAGGGTCCCACACTGATTCGAATCTTGTCTTTCTCAGCTGCCGGTGTAACGTAATCCACGTAATATGCAGTTGCCAGAGTGTCCCTCACTTTAGCCCCGGGGTCAAACTCGGGAGCAATGTTTGATGAATCAATGTAAATGTTAAACAGAAGCTGATTAGGAGACGGACTCACAATGTCGCAAAAGTGTAAACGGAGAAGATATTGGAAGCCGGTGTCAATGCTGAACTCCCAAGTGACATTGAAATTGGAAGTGGTGTCCCCTTCATCCACCCTCATCTTAGTGCACGTACCATACACCGTCGCGGGTGCAGACTCAGGGGACGCTCCTTGATCGGGATACATGACTGATTTAACCTTGGAGAGATTCATGGCAAGATCCGGTTTCAACAAGAAAACTTCATCGTTGACCCAATTCCTCCACAACGTGTCATTACGCGACGTCAAAGGAGATCCACCCATGTTTACCCTCTCAACAGTCTCAAGTGCCTGGGAATCAAGATCACGGAACGTCCCAACCGGATCAATGGTTGTGACATCACCAGTTATGAGATCATTAGGTACCGAGACAACCTCAAGGGCACTCACATAAGCAAATGAATTAGGGGAAGGTGTGAATGTTATCACAATCTCACTAGACGCCACATTTACGGAAAACTCCCTGAACGAACGGCTTTTCGGATTGAAACTGGTAAGGAGGACATGGGTTTGGGTAGAAACCGAGAAACTAGCTGAGCTCATGTTATACTTGTTGTACATAAAGGGGTAAAAATAGAGACGGATCCAGTGGCGTCCAGGCTGGCTGATGGAGAACTTGTAGCTTGAAGTTCCAGTGAAGATTCGTGCCGTCCCGTAGAGAGGGGAATTGTCAGATGCTGGAATTGGGGGCGAAGTAGGAGCATTGGCCAATATGTGTTCTGGGGTTGAGAGGGATTTTGAAGCTGATTGATCAGATTTGAAAACCCTACTGCCCAATTTGGCATCACTGGATGATCCACAGTTTAACAGGTAATTATCTGCAGGAACAAAATCAGACCCTAATTGCTTCAAGAGGAAGAACACCGACAAAACCCATATCAGCAGCAACTCAAACCCCAAATCCTTCTTCATCACAACAAACCACACACAAAAAATGGATCTTGGGAGCTAAAGTTGAGATCTTTGGGGCTAAATACGATCTGGGCATCAACTGTTTTGACTCAAAATCAATGAAATAAGGGAAAAGATTGCACCTTTATAATCACAGAGTCAAATCAGAAGAGATGTTCAGGAGCTGGGAATCACTGCAAACATCTAGCAATGTTAGAACCAGAAAGAAGCCACCATAAAATTCGGGCAGCTAATTGAATGAACTTTTAACAAATAAATCTTTGCTCAAGATATTGATAAAAAAAATCAAAGAAATGAAACTAGTTGATTCAAGACTATCATTTAAAGGTGTACTGCGCACACATAGCTGACAGCTATATACACTCAATATATGAGAATTTCAAAGAAATCTGACTTTTTTTTATTATTATGCGGCTGAAACGCGGAGAAGAAGACCACATGTATAGAGATAAAATTTCGCTCACTTGAACTGCCTGAATATTTACTCCGGATGACTTCGGAGCGTTTAATTTCCACTGAAAATCTATTTATTCATAGTTCTAGCTAAAAATGAGCTAAAATCGAGAATAGCTCAAAATATTAAATTGATCAAATTCCATGAAAGTCTCCAGTTATAGCTCGTTTCACATATTTAGTCTATAGGTATCAAATATTACTAATTTAGTCCTCGATTATTATATTCATTTCCACGAATGATTCTTTGTTAACATTTCCGTTAAGAACGTGGATAAAATTGTAAATTCACACTTCTTTCTTTCCTCAACTAAGCTTCCTCACTCCCTTCGCACTCCTTTCCCAAACTCGTCGCTGAGTTTGAAGCTTTGAACCCAAAACTGAAATCATTACTCTTCTCACAATTGTTTATCTAATTGGTGGAACTCAAATTCAAAACCAGTAACTTTCATGAATGAGTTCTGATGTTTATTTTCTTTGCAATTTCTTGATACTAATAGATAAAACTCATCCATAAAGCTTATTGGTTTTGATTTTAGGTTCTACCAAGAAGACTAATAATTGAGAGAAGAATGATCATTTCAGTTTTGGATTTAGAGCTTCAAACTCAGTGACAAGTTTGGGACAGAGTACAAGAGGAAAGAGGAAGCTTAATTGAGGAGAGAGAAAAAGATGAATATACAATTTTATCTATGTTATTAACAAAAACGTTAACAAAAGATCATTCGTGAAAAATGATATAATAATTGAGGACTAAATTAGTAATATTTGACATGTAGGGACTAAATATGTAAAACGACTTATAACTCGAGACCTTTTATATAATTTACTCTATTAAATTTTTAAGCAAAACTTGCTCTGAAAATACTAAAGTCATAAACAAAGTTGTCACAAACACCGTAAAATGATAATTTTATATTAAGTATTTACTATTTAAATTATTTTAAACTATTTTATTCTTGAAATTTATTTCGGAAATGATAAGTTTGTGATATTTGTAATCACTTCATGATCCAAGCATTTCTCTTCTATTTTATGAGTGGAATGCGGTTTATAGTTAGGAAGAACTGAAATGAAACGTAATCTAAATCTCTAGTGTTTAGTGAGCAATTATAAAATCAAATGCAATATACAAAACTATTTAAGTATAAATAAAGTAGATTGTGTTGGTTAAAAATGGTCGATTATGTTAAAAAGTTACATTTAAATATGAATGTACATTAATACATGACACAATACTTATTTCATACCAATATTGTACAGAATATTTTGGTATGAGATTATACGTGCCAATTCTGAGATATCAGTTCAAAGATAATTCAATGCGAGTTTCAAGGTACAAATAGAAATGAATAATACATGTGTGTCTAATGTTAAAATGTAACAAAATCCTTTTTTTATTTGAAAAAAGAGTAAATTATATCATTGATCCTTTAGAATAAGAGGTTTTCCATATTCAGTCATCTATTATTAAATATTACAACTGTGATCTTTCTTTTCTAGGTGTATTTTTATAAATAATCCTTTTTAGACTTTATGTCATACCTGTGTTAATTTGAGAATAAAGGTGTAATTTGAGATTAATTTTATGTCTAATGACGCATTTTGGTGTCAGTTAGACAAAAAACGCAACAATAATGATTATGGATGTGAACTACGGTGTCTTTCGGGGTAGGTCAAACTTGCTTTACCTGGTCCGGCCCATACCTCTAATCTGGTGCCTTTCCGCGACCCAAATGTCTAATAAACCATTTTTGAAATTGACCTCAATGCCCGAAATATTTACATGTCTGGCCCTTAACTTACGTAACGACCAATTTATCCCCATCAGTTAAATTAAAAAACGAAATCCAACGGTTGTGTTTGCGATCCACTTGATTCCATCCTTTACAAATTACCAAGTTTCTGCATTGAGTACCCGAAACACTTTGGCGCTAAAGTGGCCGGTAATGTGTAATGATAAAGAAAAGTTTGGAAATGTTTTTTGTGTTAGGAACACAATTATGTTAGAATTAGGAAAAGGTAGAATATTACTCCCTCCGTCCCTAAATATTTGCAACGTTTGCTTTTTTCAGCGTCGCGGGAACTTTTGTTTATTTCTACGTTTTCATTGGTTATTTGATAAAATAAAATATTCTTGACATCTTTTATTTCAAATAACTTTTCATGTAGTTTTTTGATATGTAAATTTTATTTTTTATTTCTATACCAATTTGTAAATAAAATGAATTGAAAAAACTTAGAATATTTTATCTCGGGAATACAAGTGTGGCAAATATTTAGGGACGAAGGTATAATTAAAAGATTTTCTATTCCAAATTTAGAAAATTAAGCTACGGAGGGAGGGCCTCTCTATGGCGGCGAAGTACGGATCCGGATTGAGCAGCAGAATCAGAATCTATTACGAAACTCGAGTTTCCACACAGGAGAAAGTCGACGGCGGCGGAGATTCCTCCTTGAATGCAGCAGCAGCAGCCCCGATCGCCGCCGCCTCAGCTCCAGGTACGCCACCATCCTCATCAATTGTGTTCAGAGTGCAGTGCATCATGAGATTAAGCGTGGCAGCAGGAGACCCCATGAGGGAGTTCCTGGAGGTGAAGGATTGGCGGGACACAAGGCACTCATCCATTGACCTTCCGGATTATTTATTGATGATACCAATCATAATCAAATAATCTCTGAAGCCCTTACAGTCCTTAGGGTTCTTAAAGAATCCCACAAGTCGATCATCGACCAACTTCGCCAGGGGGCTGCTTCCCTGGGCTTAGCTCCTATCTTCATGGTAGAAATCTGCGAGGTGACGCATGCCACACTCCCGGTTATAAGCGAAGATGGAAAAAGATTCATTGAAGAATGCGAGGAGGAAGATGAAATTGTTGACCAGGACGAAGTCGTGCCCTTCCCTGATAATAACCAGGAGGAGAACAAAAAAGAACCTGATGATGCAGAATGTCTCAATGCTCTCAAGAGATTAATTTTGGACGTAGGAGACATTAATGAGGAGGATGAGGTAGCCATACTGGATGATTGGACCAATAAATTCACGGATATTTTTTACAGGGTAACTGATGAGGAGGAGGAGAAAGCTGCAAAGGAGGAAAAGGAGGCAAAGGACGAAGAGGAGGAGAGGACTTGCCCCATCTGTATGAACATATTCGAACCAGACGAGAAGCGGAGTAAGATGATTTGCTGCCCTCAAGTTTTCCACTGCGATTGTATCTCGACGTGGCTCAAACGTGGCAAGACGTGCGCCCCTGGTGCCGTTCCTCTTTACCACTCGTGCTTCCATCCGCAAAGGGCATTATTAAACGAAATGAATCAGAATATTTTGTTTGCCCTGTTCATCCTGGAGTTTCTCCATACTTGGTGACAATCTGGTATTATTTGGTAGAACGTTCTGTATGGAGCAAGGAAATATTACATGCTCTCGGGTGTGAGTGTGGTTGTCTCTCACGCGTGCCTGATGTACTAGTAGTTTAGCATCGGTTTGTTTCAACTAGGTGGAGGCTATCGTTTCACTTTTTCAAAATTGGGTTGGATTAGTAGATTTTGGGTTTTTTTTTTATGTTAAACAATGTTATAATTTTTTAAATGGAAAACCGTGATGCATATATACATTAATTTGCCATCAACAAGACATTGCTTTTTGTGTTGTGTTCAGAAATGCTTGAAGTTTTTACTTGCAGGTGGCTTTTGATCGGTGATGATAATAAAGCTGTTTAGGCATGTAGGGATAGCTCATTCCTTCAAAAAACTATTATCTAATTTCACTCTCGACATGTTTTTAGTACACACACATCCTCTCTAGACCTTGCTTTTAGTGGGATTTTACTGGGGTTGTTGTACTCTTGACCTCCTAATGTTTATCGAAAAATACTTGTATTTGTTTTTGGCGATGCAACAGCCTATGTTGCTTGGTAGAAGAGTTGTTCGAAAATTAGGGATGAATCCAGCTGTTTACAAGAGACTTGATTTCGCTCGTGTTCATGAAAAAAAGATTAGATTCACCTAGTGCATCAACTATTTCCAAGTAAGCTTGTTAATTGCATCATATTAGTGCTAGATTTCATTCTGAAACTGTCAGTAATAGGCTTGTTTGGCAGGTGTCTGCTTATTTTAATGTACTACCCTACATGTAAAACTTTAAACCATCCCCTCTTTTGAAGATTAGGTTTGTTTGAGCACTATCTGTTTGTTGATTTTGATGTGGACATGGCAAAAGATTTCTATCCTTCCCTTATTCTTCTTATAATTGAATTTGACTATTAAATATCACTCTTTTTGGTTCCCATCTAGAAGAGTGAGTGACACCTCGGGAAAGGTGAAATGCAAGTGCACTTTACAAAGCATACATTTGAGTTATGGAACATCTTGAATCTTGCAATTTGACATTATATACATTTCTAAAGGAGATGGGCAAGTTTTGGTCTACTTGTAGCTTTTCACCTACAATTTATGATGTTGAGTCCTTTTTATCTATCTTTTAGCCATTTTCTAATATATTACTGCTGAAAGGCATAAAGAATTTATCGTGCTTGAATGCGGTCATGGATGGAAAAGTATGAAGATAGAGAATGTGTTAATAAGAAGGATTAACTGAAACATGTCCTTTATCAACTGAAGCAACAAAATTGATCCACTTAATTACTCGTATGTCACTTAAAAGAGCTAATAAGTGCACGTTAATTTAAGACAACAACACTGCTGTAGTGCCTCACAGGCTCCGACCCATTGGGTCGGATGTATGTAGCATGAACCCAATGTTCAAAACACGAGCATTGGAAATTGCATTGACTAAGTGCTACTTCACTATTAAAAGATGTAGAGATAGTTTAAAGAGCCATTTTGCTCTATTCCATCATACCCCAAAGTCAAAAACTAGTAAATCTTTGACTTCATCAAAGATGATGGAAATAGACATAAGACAACTATGGAAGGAAATTAAAAAAACACCCAATGCCAACCTCACTTGGTGCAATGCTTTTGCATGTTCTAATACAATGTACCAACTACCAAGTAAATTGAGGAGGATAAAAGCTTTGCTGTTTGTGATCACAAGTGTATCACCGTAACTAGAAAGTAATAAACTTTCTCCCTTGAAGTCTTGAACTTCGACCAGTGAAATATATATACCCGACAACAAAAACTTATTTTTGTGTAATTTTTTTCGTGTTAAAAATAAAAATGCTTTCTGGAATTTGGATGCATTAGTCATGTTTTGTGTTTATCTTTAAATATTTATAATGTGCTTTGATTCTAGGCCATAAATGACTCTAATACTCATAGTAAGGAAAGGGAAGGTACTATCAGGGGAGTTCGCCTTCTGAACGGAAATCTCGTTTACAAATTTAACACTCACATTTTATGTACTCACTCCGTGCCAGAATCAGGTCACAATGCAGAATCTGGGTGGGCACAAGAGTTAAGGATGTGAAAACTGTTTGTGGATATTTGTGTAGAGAGAGATGATATGAATCTCGTATTTCTTCTCCTAAAGGTAATGAAACATAATTGAAAAATTTAACATAATTTTGGGAGAATGTCATTTTAAGTATTGTGAACTTAAGGCATACTTTCTTTACACCATTTTAAATTTGGCAAAATTTTATCACCATTTTGTGAACAACTGCTTTTGTGATATATTTGCCTTGGGAAGTTGGTTTCCCTCCAATCTTGACGTTTCAGACTTTCCTGAATTCTCAATCATGTGCTTCCATTATATCTTCTTGCACAACCTGCTGACCTTCATATTATGGATTGATACAGAATTGCAGTAACAACAATTGGATGCCTACCAGATCATAAGTAGATCAGATATACTCTCTCAAAAATATTTTCCTATTCCTTTAAAAGTATACACAGAAGTCTGAAAGGTTATATTTGGTTTAAGGAGAAGTCTTTAAGATATAATGTCATCTGTATTGGGTTTAGGGACTTAAGGGAGAAGTCTTAAAGGTAATTAGGAAGAGCAATCCCCAACTCCATTACAGTTCTCCTCTTGGGTTTCAGGTTAGTGGTTTTGTTGGCCACTATTGAGCTAAAAGACTCCTTTCTAATAGATAATATATGTAAAATTTTCCTAGATGAATTATTTTTATTTTTATTATTATTATTGTTGTTGTTGTTGTTGTTTTAAAGCATTACTTCCTGTTGAATATTACAACTGGAATAAAAAAAAAAAAATCCGAACTTATAAACCGTTCGGATTTTACAACGAGAAATAAAGAAAATAAAAACTGGAGTCTTCGGAAGCTCGAACGGACTGGGAGAACACGAAGAGACAGCAAGGCCGTGACTTTGGACAAGATGATTGGAAAGCGGGGATTCGCCGGAGCAGTTTCTCGATGTGAAGGTTAGGAAAGCGGAGTCGCCGAAGCTTTCCTTAAGGTAGTATTGCCCGCCTCCCGCACTGGCAAACGTGGGCAATCTCCTCCCAGGATAAAACCGCAACATGCTAAGTCTAGAGCGGTAGAACAGAGCACTGGCGAACGAGAATGACGGAGAGCTATCGCCGGAGAAGATGATCGGATTTGGGGAGTTGTCGGAACTTTTAGAACGCAGAGATAGAGAGAGATTTTCGAGTGTTTACTGGTGTGTTCATCTGTGCGGCCAACCCCTCCTTTTATAGGAGAGGAAATTGGCTCTTCGCAGGACCGTCGGACATTACGAAGAGTCGAGTGACTCTTCGTCCGTAATGCATGCATGCTTCAACCCTTGGTCGACACTTCGTTATTTACGAAGTGTCCACGCATGTTCAATTCAGTCTCGTAAAAATTTAGCCCGGCCATGCCGCAGACGCGCCCCGCCCCGCCCCGATGCGCGCGTGTCGTGACGTGCCGAGCCAGACAGGCGGCGGCGGCGGCGGAGGGCGCGCGAGGAGTCCTCTTCTTGTTCCTTTCATAAACTGAATTAGAAGCCTAAGCTTAAATATGAGAATATGAAAGGTTTAAAAACCGGTGTGGGACAAGGGTATTTACTCTACCCTCGTATTCAACTTTGAGAATTAATTTCTCATTCACCCGAGCACCGTTTATGGTGTATCATATGTCGAGACGTTCGTCTTACTTACGAGATTGAACGTCCATAATTATTTTGGAAAATAATTTTGTGGACCCTACCGAATTTATGTTCGAAAATTGTCCAATTTATCAAATATTTCCAACAATCCCCCACATGAATGAAAATTAATTCATGTAACTGGCTATAACTCTTTAGTTGAAACCTGCAAGAGTAGGTAGGTTTTAAGCCTTTGAACCTACTTCTTGTAAAGTATACCTTCTCTACTGGCTGTTCAGTAGAACGTGATATCTTTGAACTGTACTACCTTAAGATTTGGCAAGCTTTGCACCAGCGTAGAAGGGGTACATCGTATCTCCCAACCCCTCAAGGATAATGTTGATGGCGAGATAGTTGTTGTGGTACCATGCTTGGTTCACCATCGCCACGAGGGGGTCGTTGGCATCGTTGGGCTGGGGAGGATCTTGCTGCACGTACTCAGCAAATCCAAGGACGGTCAAGAAGAACGTCATCTTTTGTTGCCACATTTTGAAGTTCGTGCCAGTGAACTTCGGTGGCCTTTGGACCAAACTAGCAGGCACTGAAATCGGCCCAACCGCATTGGGTGTGTGAAGGAAAGGCCCGTTGGTTGTCCAGTGAGGTCCAACGAATGGATTGACCGGTGTGGGGAAACCCGCGTTCGGTCCAAAGTTGACCGTCGAGGCCGGAGCCATAGTTGGTCCGAGAAACGGGTTCGAATTACCGACGGAGTAATCCCCCGTGGTTTCGAGCCCGGGGATGGGTCGAGGGGCCGACCCGAAGATCGAGCTCGGCATTAAGAACGATGTCATGGTTGCGGCCCCCACACTTGACCCGAAGGGCAGTGGTGAGGACGGCACAACCATGGCAACCGAAGAGGTTTCCACCGGGATTTCGGAACTCATCCCGTTGCCGGAGGAACCCACGATGCTGAATCCGAACTCCGGACAATACTACCTTAAGATTGTTGAATATTACAGCGGGAATAAAAAAATAATAATAATCCGAACTTATAAACCGTTCGGATTTTACAACGAGAAATAAAGAAAATAAAAACTAGTGTCTTCGGAAGCTCGAACGGACTGGGAGAACACGAAAAGACAGCAAGGCCGTGACTTTGGAGAAGATGATCGGAAAGCGGGGATTCGCTGGAGCAGTTTCTCGATGTGAAGGTTAGGAAAGCGGAGTCTAGGGATGGCAACGGGTCGGGTTCGGGTCGGATAGTACTATACCCGAACCCGACCCGACTTTTAAAACCAAAACCCGAACCCGACTCGAAACCCGACCTTTTAAGCTAAAAACCCGACCCGACCCGAACCCGACTTTTAACCAATAATCAATTCGACGTATCCCAATAATTTTGAAATGATTAAATCTAATTTTTTTCATGTCTCTTTTTTATGTCTCATTTTTTATTAAGGAATTATAAAAATGATTATAAAAAACATACTTGATATAGTAGCACTTTGCCAAGAAATTATACGGAGTGCTTATTATATTCATAGATAGGCTTTTATGTAATAAAATATTCGGGTTTTAGTCGGGTCGGGTGCGGGTTCGGGTCGGGTCGGGTAAAATTATAAATCCACACCCGACCCGACCCGATGTCGGGTTCGGGTAAAAAATTTCAGGTCGGGTTCGGATTATTTTATTCTCGGTTCGGGTTCGGATATTTTAGTGGTCGGTTGGGTCGGTTAAGCTCGGGTTCGGGTTGAATTGTCATCCCTAGCGGAGTCGCCGAAGCTTTCCTTAAGGTAGTATTGCCCCCCTCCCGCACTAGCAAACGTGGGCAATCTCCTCCCAGGATAAAACCGCAACGTGCTAAGTCTAGAGCGGTAGAACAGAGCACCAGCGAACGAGAATGACGGAGAGCTATCGCCGGAGAAGATGATCGGATTTGGGGAGTTGTCGGAACTTTTAGAACGCAGAGATAGAGAGAGATTTTCGAGTGTTTACTGGTGTGTTCATCTGTGCGGCCAACCCCTCCTTTTATAGGAGAGGAAATTGGCTCTTCGCAGGACCGTCGGACATTACGAAGAGTCGAGTGACTCTTCGTCCGTAATGCATGCATGCTTCAACCCTTGGACAACACTTCGTTATTTACGAAGTGTCCACGCGTGTTCAATTAAGTCTCGTAAAAATTTAAACCCCGCCACAGAAGCGGGCGCGACGCGCCGCGCCGCGCCCCGCCGCGATGCGCGCGCGTCGTGTCGTGTCGGCCGGACGGCGGCGGCAGCGGGCGCGCGAGGAGTCCTCTTCTTGTTCCTTTCATAGGCTCAATTAGAAGCCTAAGCTTAAATATGAGAATATGAAAGGTTTAAAAACCGGTGTGGGACAAGGGTATTTACTCTACCCTCGTATTTAACTTTGAGAATTAATTTCTCATTCACCCGAGCACCGTTTATGGCGTATCATATGTCGAGGCGTTCATCTTACTTACGAGATTGAACGTCCATAATTATTTCGGAAAATAATTTTGTGGACCCTACTGAATTTATGTCCGAAAATTGTCCAATTTATCAAATATTACCAACACTTCCTCGATCCTTAAATAAAAGTCTCGCTTTAACTTCATGGAGATTAAGAAAGTTGTTGAAGAGCAAAAAGTTTGCGGATAGAATTTGGTTAGACTGTTAGAGCAAAGAGAAATGTTGCAGACCAGATATTCATTTCCTTTTATGGAAAGAAGAGAAGTGAGATTATTTTTGGACAGACGGAAAAGGGAAAGTTTATTTGGAGACAGGGAGTATTATTCACTACTGAGTATATATGGTGGGAAAATCAAATCACTGACTCATTCTGTGCATGTAAACATATGATCTTACAGTTTAGGCATGTCATTTCTCTTTAACCTTGAAGTGATATATTTTCTGTCGTGCACATTATCTTTTAGACAACTCTTTGACTTCTTAGGAATTTGAGTAGGTTTAAGTTTATTTGTAGGTTTTTTTTCTTATGCGTTAAAACAATCGGATACTACTGTAACTGGGACTATAAAATACTTGGACATTGAAAGGTGCCAATATTGAATTTATTTACTCATTAGTAAATGAGTTTAAGTGTCTCCTATTGATTTCAAGTAGGGAAGAAGTTTATCTATAAATCATGTTGCCTCAAAGATGCAAATACTCTTCTGCACAGGTTTGATGCATTTTATGCAAAAACTATGTCTAATACATGCAAATTATTGCTTAAAAGGGACAGATATATCGTGGAAGAGTTTCCAGAATTTGAAGGAGAAAAGGAAGATGTTTTGGACAAAAAGGATGATCAAAATATAGTCAGTTGAGAACCTTGTTTGATTCCTGAATTCAACTGCTCTTGATTTGGTTACTGGAAATATTAATTCACTATACAATTATGTGCTAATTATCACATGGAATGTTCTTGGGATCTAGCTCTAGTTGCAGATATCACAGATTTATTATTCCAGGTTAAATTGATTTTGGGTATTCCTGACATCATTACAGAACTGGGCATTATTATTCATGAACAGACTGCAGATCCTCCCAATACAAAACCTTAGAACTGTTGACATTGGCTAAGAAAGAGCCAAGATCAGAAGCCTTCAGAACACCGTTTTTCCAAACACTAGCATCCAATCCATAAAATATGGCCTCGGTTCCTCACATCAGGTAATTTAATTTCTTTGTAAGCACTGTTTACAAAGTAAATACCTTTCCTATCAATCATCTAGCATAGAGAAGTTGATCATTGTCGTTCCTGTCTGACAAGGAAAAGGACCGAGTAAAGTCCTGTCCTCTTTGATTGAAGGAGAAATTCTCTCCATATCCCAGAAACCTTGCGCAATGGTGTAGCTTGTGAGGAGATATAAGGGCTATTTCTGTTCGACAGCCAGGGATCCCTCCAAAGATTGATGTATATGCCATTGCCAATTTTCCAGGTATATCTCTTCTGGATAAGAGATTGGGTCTCCCAATGGCTTCACCGAAGATACCAATTAGGGTTAATCCCTATTTTAGCCTCACCCAATGGATCCCTTCTGTCCTTTTTGGTTCTTTTGCTCCGTCTAAAGGACAGCATTCATTCTCTACCAATCACTGCACACCTTTAGCCTCTAGAAACATGCCCATAGCATAGTTGGCAATAGCTTTTGCATTAGTCTTAATCTACATTTTCTTGCCAGCCCTTGAGATAAGTCTGTTCCTCCCGGAGTTGAAGTGCTAGCCAACTTTATCTTTAAGAAAAGAGAAAAACCTCTTCTTTATACGATCAATGATGGAATGAAGACCAAGATAGGTTCCATGGTCTATGCAAACAGTAACATTTAGGAGCCTGCATATGGTTTGATTAATTTCAGGGCCAGCAGTGTAAGGTCTGAAGCACACCCCACCTGGATTTATTGAAATTGATCAGCTGCCTCGAAGCTCTAGCATAGGTAATGAGCAGGTCTTTAACCTTGATACTCTTCACTGATTCACTCAGATTTTGGGACATAATCATAATCTGGATAGTAATCATTCAGCGTTTTCTTTGAAAAATAGGCCATTGTCGACCACAAGGCCAGTCCTAAATTGTCCTAGTCACTGCAAAAAATAATCGTCTAAAATTTATAGAAGCATTTTTAACACACTTACATTAGCTTTGCTTTGATGTTAACCTACCTTTATTTACTACACTATACTCCCTCCTCCCGATATCTGTAATACCGGTTTTGTTTAGATGGCCGTCCACTATCTTCCAATTTGAGGAAATGGAAACCAAATAAAGAGTAAATGACTCTTTTTCCCTTTCAACATTAAAGACCACCCATCCCATTTCTTCTTTCAAGTACTTACATGAGCTTGGAAGCAGAAACAACGGCTACCGGAAGGAACTCCTGATCTAAAGGGAAATGGAAGCAACTCCTCTATCGTTTTAATATTGAAACAACATCAGACTGAGAAGAGTGATTGATACAGGCACTGCTACGCAAGCTAGAGTCTGGTGTTGCCATCGGAGAAGAAAGGCCACCTCGCACTCCCTAAAATCCCCCATCGCAATATGTGTTTGAAACAAATAGGACTATATTTAAGAGAGGCCCTGAGCACAAAAGATGTAGAGAAAAGATGGGAGGAAGTCCCCTTGGCAAACAGATGAGCATAACATTACTCCACTGTCCTCTGGTCACTCATGTCTGGATCTATTTTGCCTCAACCTTTAATGGGACTTATGATACACAGATGAGCAACGTCAAACAACACTGCTTCATGTGGTTAAGCCTAAATATTTCAAAAGTTTGAAACTTTTCATAAGAAGTTGATGCATTTGCACATGTTAGTTACTGATATGGTATTTGCTAATTGTGCTTTCCCTCCAAAATAGGAATACCTGACATCTATTTTCAAAACCTGGATTTGGAGAAAGTGATCCTTATCTCAAAAAGGAGTCTTGAGTCATCATCAATGGACATGCTGCACTTATCATCTTTCATATGCTGTGAATGTTAACTGAAATTTTAGGTGGTGGTCGGATTCTCTAGTGCAAGTAGCAAGGCATGCCTGGGTTTATTTAATATTCCTCATAAGATTGCTGGTATGTAATCTGAACATGTGTGTGATAACTTATGATGGCATAAGTTCTTTTTCATTTGATTTAAATGTTTAAAATGTTCTTTTTTGAGAGCACCAGTCTCTAAAAATATGCACCAAAAATGTTTTTTTTAACTAGAGTGAAAAGCACTTTTTTCTGAGTAATTTCTATGTATTTTGCCAAATGATTCATTTACTAGGAAGAATTGACATTATACAGTGCATCATACACATCGGTTTTATGGAAAGTTCTGTCTTAAACTAAGAGGATTCAAATGCCAAATCGGGTGAAATTAGGTGTCGGTTCAGTGGTGGCTGCATCTGAAATAAAGTACTTAAGCATAGTGTAATAAAAAATAGGTAATAATTTACGGTATGTAATGAACAATCCCTAATTTCATCTCCCTTTTATTGAATTCCAATTTTTAGGGGTTTGTGAAATTGTGGTTATTGATTGTATTTGGATAGTTTGTTGGTATTTGATTGTTGGATACTTTGATATTTGATGTTTAGTAATTAATTCTTTTATATAGTGATAATTTATTGTTGGAATTTGTCAATATGGGATTTAATTCCTGGGTCTTAAAAGGAATGATAATCTGGTATTAGATTGAAACTTGTCAATTTGAGGACGTGTTCTAATTTTCCTTACAAACTTCCACCCGATTCTTCTTGAACTTTTCATGGAATATCATCTGAGCTTTTACATGGATTTAACAATCTGGAATGGTTTTGACTATTGCAGAATCTGAGGTGCATATCTTGTTTATATTAGCAGTAATAACTTTTATGTTTTATTTTGTTGTGTGGCTCTAATTCATCTCCCTCGTTCCTATAAGATTGTACTGTTTTCTTTGCAGCATTTGAACAAATGAGTATGAACATGTGGTCCCTATTTAGTACTTTTAAGTATTTCAAATGCTTGTGTTTGCAATCACATTGATATTTGATATGACCTACCCTAACGGCTTGTGCTATATAGTACAATGGCTTGCTAGTGAACAAGTTTTTTTCATTCTTCTTTAGCAGAATGGATTGGTCATTAGTACTTTTTTGGGAAGTACACTTCTTTGGTCATCAGTACAGAGTTTTTTATTGCCTTCGGATGGGCTTTTTGGATTAAACTGGTTGCATTGGTTCCGCATTCAAGATGATAGCCAAAGAAGCTTCTCTTCCGATGAACATACTGCTGTATATTTATTGCTATTTGGGATCTATATTTCAGTATCTCCCTTTTCTGTTTCTTCATTTTTCTTTTATTCTTAGAATGAACACGGGGCTCTAATTTGGTTTACACTGTCTAAACAGGGGTGATTTTACAGGGCAATGCTTTCGTCTGATGCATAAGTTATTCAGACTTTAAATTGAAGAGTCAAATTGGCCTGACTAGTACAGTAGGGAATTCAAATTTAGGTGGCTAGCCTTGTTGGTTTTTGCTAAGTACTTGTTCCTCTTGTTCTTTGTTACTATATGTTTTTGTGTTGGGTAGGGGTTAAGGTTTGCATACATTTACACTATGTTTGGTTCAAGGATTTTGGAAGGAAACGAAAAGAAAAAGATTTTCTCTCATTTTCCTCACCAAAATGGGAGGAAATTGGTTTTCCCTTCACTTAGTACATTTGTCTTCTCATTTTCTTTTTCTTCAACTTTTCCTCTCCAGCCAAACATGAAAAACTATTTTCCACTCCATTTTCTTTTCTTTTCCCTTTCAAATTCCTTGAACCAAACATAGTGTTAATCCTCCTGAGACTCACTATTGTGTTTGATTTACATGATAATTGGTTTGTTTGGTTTATACTGAGGTAATGTGTATTTTTCTTCCTAAATTGTGTAGACAAAGGTTGAAGATGCTGTGAAGAAAATGCAGTGTATTGGTGATTGTTTATAAGGTATCGTTCACATTACATATGCTCACTTCCCTGTAAGGTTGTTTATTTATTTATTTATTTATATCCTTAGATTTTTCAAGTTTTTTTTTTGTTGTTTGTTAGAATTGCATATAATTTTCATTTACTTTTGTTGTAAGTAGGCTCTTTAGAAATGTGATAAGCTTCATCATGGAAGGGAAATTTTTAGATCATTTTGTTCAATAAATGAAACTTGTGCTTGTAATCTCCTCTTATGGAAATTGAGCCTATTTCATATGGAACCACCTTTTGGTGAGAATAATAAAATTTGTTCACCACTGGAATTTATAAATCTAAACACCTCCACATATCGTTGAATATTTTCAGAGATTTCTTCCTAAACCATTTTCTCCGAGAGGCAATATTGCAAGTAGAGACTTGTGCCAGGAATTCCTTATGAATTCTGGCGAAGGTGGAAGAAGAGACTTGTAGCATGGAATGGTACTGAAGTTGAGATTTGATTGCTGTGTTTTGGAGATCAGTTCTGCGAACAATTAAATTAGTTTGATGTGCTGTATGTTGTTGAGTTATTTTTGGTGTTCATTAACTCACCCCTTAATTGGTGTTTAGTGGACACACAAGATGCACCAAACTAGATAGAATGCTTATGATGCTGATTGAGGTTTTTTCAATGGCAGTCACTGGTTGTACAACCCCCAGATGTTTTGAACTATGATGTTCTTCATTTCCCTTGTTTGGGTGTATAATAGTTTGAGTTATTTTGTTGCAGAACCAATCTGTCCCTAGTATATTAGTTCTTTTGTATTTTGGCAGGCTTGACACGGTTCCCATGACATTGCCCGGCAATGTCATGGAATGAGTAGTTTAATTTTTTGGATTTGGGTAAACAAAAACAATTGAACACAGAAGAGACCCCATTTCAATTGATCATAGTAGGCATGACATCTCTAACTCCTACATGTTTCAAAGCCGAAATATCTCTTCCTTCCAAGATTGATTTCATTCTTCTTTTAGCTATGCTTTGGTTATGCACACTTTTTTAACTCTGAGTACCAAAATCATTTTTAGTTTAAAAGGACAATACTTCAATTGATGATTCCATGTGAAGCTACCTTCCATCCTTGCAAACAATCATTTTGCAAATGAGGCATTTCATAAAGCGTGTGAGAAGAAAGCAAGAGCATTATACACACACACTCTTGCATCTCTCTTGAAGCTCCACCCAAACTTGGTTGATTATTTCTTTAAACTAATCATTATTTTGGATGTTTATATATATCATTCATATAAACTTATTACTTTGCATTACTGTGTATTGTTTGAGTTCAATTGTTTAAAGGTTTCATATGGAGTATTTAATACACACGGAGCATCTTTTTTATTTTTTATTATCAATATTTTGTCTTTTTTTATTTCTGGATATTTTTTGCTACCCAGTTCAAGATTGCATACATTAATAACACCTTAAGCTTGATTCTCATGAGGTAGTATCTTTTGGGTGGGCAGGGGTACTTCTTTTCTGGATTACTATGGTAAGGGAACTCTGAATGAGGAAACTAAGTCAAATTCTTTCCAATTGGTGATTGGGATAACAACCCAGTTTTTTCTTTTAAAATAATTTTTTAAGTTATTACTTCCTCCGTCCCAAATTATAATGTTTGTTCACTATTCACATGATCAAACTTCATTCACCTACTTTCTCAATTTTCGTTAGCAATTTGATAAAATATAGTACTATCGTCACTACTAGTTTTTATTTTTTAACTATATACCATTTGACATTTAAAATGATTTGAAAATAATTTCAGTCAAACATCGTAAACCAAAACAGGTGTTATAAAATGGGACGGAGGGAGTACTATTTTTCACACTAAAATTTATGGACACTGTGTTATATTTCAAGTTTCAATTCAATCTCATGCATATTTTGTTGCGCCTGTTATATAGCCTGGGCTAACACATACGGAGTATATTTTTAAAAAGAAATAAATACTCCATATTAGCGTTCTATAGTACCAGGCAAACAATTTAATTACACCGATTGATTATTGGGAAGCAGTTGTTGATCTCATGCAAAAGTTGAAAAGTACATTATTTGAACTTGGAGTTTCAAAAGAAGTAAGCAATCACCATGTTACTTGATTTTCTTGAGCCGAAAAATGACATTCTCTCTGTCCATTAATTAAATATTCTTCTTTAATTTTACAAGCAAATTAATAAAGAATAAAATATGTTGATTTTTCATATTTGTCCTTAGTTAATGGAAAAAAGTGAAATAAATGTAGGGATAGCAGGATAAGTAGTAATTAGTACTCCGTATGAGTGTGATGGTAGTAAAATAAGAAAAGTTGACATTTAAATTTAACTTAAGTAAAAAAATAAGAAAAGAGAATATTTAAACTCAACATTCAACTTTTTTTTCTATCCCTAAAAAAAGACACCCTAGATAGTTAAATGTTCTAAAAAAAATTTATATAGCCAAAGTGGCAAACTTGTTCGAAGGTAAACCTAATTTTATTAAACTACATAATACTCCGTATAATTTACTTAATTTTAAGATATAATACATCAAATGTTTTTAAGTTTAATCTTACTATATACAATGGTAGGATGTGTTTTTCTACAGTATTACCGCCCATTTCATATGTTACAGTACCTGTGAGATTTGGATCGTACATTCAGATAAGATAAAAAGCTTCCTGCGTACACCACATGTAGAGAGAGAGAGAGCGTATGGAGTAAAAGCATGGGCAGTGGTGTGTCAAAGCCACTGCCACGCATGCCACTTCATCAAATTCCTTCTTTTTCCATGGCAAGGCATAGCAAGGCACCTTGCAAGACATGGCAAGTGCGAGCCATCTTTTCTTTTTTTTTGTTTATTTTTTTTGTAAGAGAAATAAGTTTTTTTTCTGAGGCAAGCAAAGGGGATTGGAGGCATTGTTTTCCATTTCTAAATTTTTTTATTTTTTTCTACTTTCCAATCTAACTCTTTAAAAATAACTTAACCCTTTTTTAGTTGTCTTTCTTTTTTTCTTTACAATCTATTTTCTTTTTCAAAACAATCTAACCTTTATTTGATAATTAAAAATATTCATTTTTAAACATTAATATTTTATGTGAAATTATATAATTTAATTTAAAAAATTAATATTCTCTTTGTACAATTAAAATCTTTACAAGAAAATGCAATAATTTATAATAAAAAAACACACATGGACCAATTAAAATATGTCAAAATGTTAACATTCCCAAAAAAATTACAATTATTTTTATTAAAAAAGGTAAGTAAATCAATTTTTAATAATTAAAATATAATAAAAAAGAGTAAAAAATGTTAAAAAGAGTGACTTACCACCGTAAGATATGTCACTCCACTCATGTACTATGAACTTATTTTGATTGGCTATGACATTCAATTTCTTACTAGTCAATTTCTTACTAGTCAATTTCTTACCAGCTGATCTTTTTTTCTTTCTTCGCAGCCGCATCACAGTCTTCTATCAGACGTGCGCTGTCTCACTTCTCAAGTTGGAGGTCGACGATCGCCTTCCAATTACAATCAGCAATACGCCGTAGCGGGAGAGAGAGCATACCGCATCGAGTAAGTAGCCACGCTGCCGTAAGATCTAGGGTTCCAGGTTTTGAAGTTTTCTTTCTCCTGCTTTAAATTGAGAGACGATATTGTATCAATTCTTTTCCCAAACAGATGAAGCAGAGTTGGCCTCTAAAATCCTCACCTAGATAGCCATTCCTCTTGCAATTGTGGTTCATTTTTTTTGTTTCCAGGTGCTATGGAATCATCTTCACAATGCCTTCCAATATCCCAGCACTTCCATGGTGGACCGTTGCTGAGTTCGGCTGAATTTGAAGGAATTCAGCCTTGAGGTTACTGTTCACTTGAGATACTCCAGGTTTGTATTCAACTCTGTTTTGAATATTTTGGTTGAAATTTTTTGATGGATTGTGAGCAAGCGATGCTCTTTCAGAATGAAAAAACAAAAACATGTAGACCTATACCAATTCTGACAGAAGTGCAGATCGAGAGACCTAAAAAAATTATGATTTCATCAGCAAATGCATATATAGGACATATAAATGTTATTCGATTATAATCGAGTAATACACACATTGGAATGAAACGAAAACACTGAAATTACCACTTCTCTGGTCTCAAATTTAGGTTCAACATCAAATCCAATCAAATTGGCCACACGCAAATTCTGCTCTTTCTCATTTTCAAGCTCCAAGTGAGACACCCCATGTAATTGACCATAGGGTGGCACTTTCAGATGATGCAATCAACTGCAAATCTTTCTGGCTGAAGTTTTAATTGAAACTTTCTTAGAGAGAAAAAAAGTTTGAGCCATGCATAAGCATGATAGAGATGACTCGATGATATCCAAAAGATTTCGGTAAGCTTAGCATAGTAGACAGCCAACAGAGATGTTTTAGGGGTTTTCTTAACAATGCACATCAGTCCATAAATGTCTTGGACGGAACAAAAAGCTTCCTGGTAATGTGTACTAATTATAAAACAAAGTTTTTTTCACTACTTCATATTCTAACAACTTGGCTTAGAGAATAATGTGCAATGATGATTTTAGTATTTAGTTCAATATAATAATGACATTGACGCTTGAGAGCCGTCCGTCCACCCAATTGCTTGTTAGGGTTTCTTTATCTCAGTTCTTCTTCCCCGTTCCTATATATCTCTTCCCTCTCTCCATCTTAGTCTCCTCCGTCTGGTTCCTCCCCCACCCACCCACTCTCTCTCTATCACTTTATTTTTTTCATTTCTTTCATCTTCTTTGTAATAGATATCTCTCCTCTTCTTGATTTGTTCTCTCCCCAATCTTATTTTCTTTATCTGGGTTACTCTTTGAAACATCAATCCCTTTTCTTAGGGAAACCAGAATGATATCATGGGAAACAAGAATGAAATCAAGTTCATCCAGGTATTTAAAAAACTTTTTTTTTCATTCTTTTTTTTGGTTTTCCGGTCGATTGATTTTTCCGGCACTCTCCTGCGGGAAGGATCCTGGAAAAACATTTTTTTTTCATTTTTTCTTTATTTTCTAGTCAACGGCGATTATTCTCGCACTTGCCCGCCGGAAAGATTGCCGGGAAGATTATTCTTCCGGCAACCAGCCCAAATCCCAAAGCCCAACCTATTACTGGAATGGTGTTTTTCAAAAATTTTAAAATTTCCCAATTGTATGGGCGGGATTTAGAAATGGTTTGCACTTTTTGAAAAATTTCAAAAACACAGGATCGGGAATCTAAAAAAATTTGAAAATCCAATTTCTTCCACACTGGCATTCCTTGTGCCTTTCAACTGGCCAATCACGTTTCAGCACGCAAATCTATAAATGGGCGCCATTTTTTTGATATTTTAAAATCACAGTCATTCCTTGAAAAGCTTCTGAAATAAGTTATGAGTTATCATCAGAGCAATAAGTTTCAAATGGGTTAGATTAATCGGAATAATAAGCTGAGAATGATGGACCGTTCTCCCCCTATTCCCATCTTCTAGAAACATTCAGCCTATGCTCCTGTGCGTGCGAATCCCCCAGCTCCTCTTGCTCCGGTGATTGCTCCTCCTGCTCCTGTGGTGAATGCTCCTCCTGCTCCGGTGGTGAATGCTCCTCCTGCTCCGGTGGTGAATGCTCCTCCTGCTCCGGTGGTGAATGCTCCTCTGGTGAATGCTCCTCTTGCTCCGGTGGTGAATGCTCCTTCTGTTCCGGTGGTGATTGCTCCTCTTGCTCGGTGGTGATTGCTTCTCCGAGCATTCACCACCGGAGCAGGAGGAGCAATCACTGGAGTAGGAGGAGCAATCACGGGAGCAGGAGGAGCATTCACCACCGGAGCAAGAGGAGCATTCACCACCGAAGCAGGAGAAGCAATCAACAGAGCAGGAGGAGCTGGGGGATTCACACGCGCAGGTGCATCGGCTGAATGTTTCTGGAAGATAGGAAGGGGTGGAGAACGGTCCATCATTCTCAGCTTGTTATTTTGATTCATCTTACCGATTTGAAACTTATTGCTTTAATGATGACTCATATTCAAATTTCAGAAGCTTTTCAAGGAATGACTGTGATTTTAAAATTTCAAAAAAATGGCGCCCATTTATAGATTTGCGTGCTGAAACGTGATTGGCCAGTTCAAAGGCACAAGGACTGCCAGCGTGAATGAAATTGGATTTTCAATTTTTTTTAGATTCCCGCTTTTGTGTTTTTGAAATTTTTCAAAAAGTGCAAACCACTTCCAAATCCCGCCTATACAATTGGGAAATTTTAAATTTTTTGAAAAACACCATTCCAGTATTGGGCTGGGCTTCGAGATTTGTTCTGGTTGCCGGAATAATAATCTTCCTGGCGGGCAAGTGCTGGAAAAATTACCGTTGACCGGAAAATAAAGAAAAAGAATGAAATTAATGCTCTCAACAAAAAAGAACCCGACGATGCAAAATGTCTCAATGTTCCCAAGAAATTAATTTTGGACGTAGGAGACATTAATGAGGAGGATGAGGTAGCCATAGTTGATGATTGGACCAAAAAGTTCATGGGTATTGTTTACACGGTAATTGATGAGGAGAAGGAGAAAGCAGCAAAGGAGGCAAAAGAGGAGAGGACTTGCCCCATCTGTATGAACATGTTCGAACCAGACGAGAAGCGGAGTAAGATGATTTGCTGCCCTCAAGTTTTCCACTGCGATTGTATCTCGACGTGGCAAGACGTGCCCTTGGTGCCGGTCCTCCTTACCACTCGTGCTTCAGTCCACAAAGGGCATTATTGAACGAAATGAATCAGAATATTTTGTTTGCCCTGTTCATGGAGTTTCTTCAAACTTTGTGATAATGTGGTATTTTTGGTAGAAGGGTCTATATGGAGAAAGAAAATATTACATGCTCTCGGGTGTGAGTGTGGTTGTCTAACACGCGTGCCTGATGTAATAGTAGTTGAGAATCAGTTTGTTTCAACTAGGCGGAGTCTATCGTTTCACTTTTTCAAAGTTGGGTTGGATTAGTAGATTTTGGGTTTTTTATGCTAAACAATGTTATAATTTTTTAAATGGAAGACCGTGATGCATATATACATTAATTTGCCATCAACAAGACATTGCTTTTTGTTTTGTGTTCAGAAATGCTTGAAGTTTTAACTTGCAGGTGGCTTTCGATCGGTGATGATAATAAAGCTGTTTAGGCATGTAGGGATAGCTCATTCCTTCAAAAAACTGTTATCTAATTTCACTCTCGACCTGTTTTTAGTACACACACACCCTCTCTAGACCTTGCTTTTAGTGGGATTTCACTGGGGTTGTTGTACTCTTGACCTCCTAATGTTTATCGAAAAATACTTGTATTTGTTTTTGGCGATGCAACAGCCTATGTTGCTTGGTAGAAGAGTTGTTCGAAAATTAGGGATGAATCCAGCTGTTTACAAGAGACTTGATTTCGCTCGTGTTCATGAAAAAAAAGATTAGATTCACCTAGTGCATCAACTATTTCCAAGTAAGCTTGTTAATTGCATCATATTAGTGCCAGATTTCATTCTGAAACTGTCAGTAATAGCTCCAAAGGAAGTTTCTACAAATACTCTGAATTTTTTTCATTACCATTGTGCTTTTGTGATATATTTGCCTTGGGAAGTTGGTTTCCCTCCAATCTTGACGTTTCAGACTTTCCTGAATTCTCAATCATGTGCTTCCATTATATCTTCTTGCACAACCTGCTGACCTTCATATTATGGATTGATACAGAATTGCAGTAACAACAATTGGATGCCTACCTGATCATAAGTAGATTAGATATACTCTCTCAAAAATATTTTTCTTTTATTCTTTAAAAGTATACACAGAAGTCTGAAAGGTTATATTTGGTTTAAGGAGAAGTCTTTAAGATATAATGTCACTGTATTGGGTTTAGGGACTTAGGGAGAAGTCTTAAAGGTAGGAAGAGCAATCCCCAACTCCATTACAGTTCTCCTCTTGGGTTTCAGGTTAGTGGTTTTGTTGGCCACTGTTGAGCTAAAAGACTCCTTTCTAATAGATAATATATGTAAAATTTTCCTAGATGAATTATTATTGTTATTATTATTGTTGTTGTTGTTGTTGTTGTTTTTAAAGCATTACTTCCTCGATTCTTAAATTAAAGTCTCGCTTTAACTTCATGGAGATGAAGAAAGTTGTTGAAGAGCAAAAAGTTTGCGGATAGAATTTGGTTAGAGCAAAGCGAAATGTTGCAGACCAGATATTCATTTCCTTTTATGGAAAGAAGAGAAGTGAGATTATTTTTGGACAGACGGAAAAGGGAAAGTTTATTTGGAGACAGGGAGTATTATTCACTAATATATGGTGGGAAAATCAAATCACTGACTCATTCCGTGCATGTAAACATATGATCTTACAGTTTAGGCATGTCATTTCTCTTTAACCTTGAAGTGATATATTTTCTGTCGTGCACATTATCTTTTAGACAACTCTTTGACTTCTTAGGAATTTGGGTAGGTTTGAGTTTATTTGTAGGTTTTTCTTCTTATGCGTTAAAACAAACGGATTCTACTGTAACTGGGACTATAAAATACTTGGACATTGAAAGATGCCAATATTGAGGGTCCGTTTGGTACAAGGAATTGATGGAATTGGAATTGAATTAGAATTAAAATTCCATGGGATTCAATTCCATAGAATTGAATTCACCAATTCCAATTCATTTTTTGCACTACCAATTCCAAATCCACATAATTTTTGTACTACCAAACACGAGAATTGGAATTGAAGTCCTCAATTCCAATTCCATAGTTTGAATTCCGTGTACCAAACGGGGCCTGAATTTATTTACTCAGTAGTAAATGAGTTTAAGTGTCTCCTATAGATTTCAAGTAGGGAAGAAGTTTATCTGTGAATCATGTTGCCTCAAAGATGCAAATACTCTTCTGCAAAGGTTTGATGCATTTTATGCAAAAACTATGTCTAATACATGCAAATTATTGCTTAAACGGGACAAATATATCGTGGAAGAGTTTCCAGAATTTGAAGGAGAAAAGGAAGATGTTTTGGACAAAAAGGATTATCAAAATATAGTCAGTTGAGAATGGCTTGTTTGATTCCTGAATTCAACTGCTCTTGATTTGGTTACTGGAAATATTAATTCACTATACAATTATGTGCTAATTATCGCATGGAATGTTCTTGGGATCTAGCTCTAGTTGCAGATCTCACAGATTTATTATTCCAGGTTAAATTTATTTTGGGTATTCCTGACATCATTACAGAACTGGGCATTATTATTCTTGATCAGACTGCAGATCCTCCCAATCATCTAGCATAGAGAAGTTGATCATTGTCGTTCCTGTCTGACAAGGAAAAGGACCGAATAAGGTCCTGTCCTCTTTGATTGAAGGAGAAATTCTCTCCATATCCCAGAAACCTTGCGCAATGGTGCAGCTTGTGAGGAGATATAAGGGCTATTTCTGTTCGACAGCCAGGGATCCCTCCAAAGATTGATGTATATGCCATTGCCAATTTTCCAGGTATATCTCTTCTGGATAAGAGATTGGGTCTCCCAATGGCTTCACCAAAGATACCTATTAGGGTTAGTCCCTATTTTAGCCTCACCCAATGGATCCCTTCTGTCCTTTTTGGTTCTTTTTCTCCGTCTAAAAGACAGCCATCATACTCTACCAATCACTGCACACCTTTAGCCTCTAGAAACATGCCCATAGCATAGTTGGCAATAGCTTTTGCATTACAGTCTTAATCTACATTTTCTTGCCAGCCCTTGAGATAAGTCTGTTCCTCCCGGAGTTGAAGTGCTAGCCAACTTTATCTTTAGCAAAAGAGAAAAACCTCTTCTTTATACGATCGATGATGGAATGAAGACCAAGATAGGTTCCATGGTCTATGCAAACAGTAACATTTAGGAGCCTGCATATGATTTGATTAATTTCAGGGCCAGCAATGTAAGGTCTGAAGCACACCACACCTGGATTTATTGAAATTGATCAGCTGCCTCGAAGCTCTAGCATAGGTAATGAGCAGGTCTTTAACCTTGATACTCTTCACTGATTCACTCAGATTTTGGGACATAATCATAATCTGGATAGTAATCATTCAGCGTTTTCTTTGAAAAATAGGCCATTGTCGACCACAAGGCCAGTCCTAAATTGTCCTAGTCACTGCAAAAAATAATCGTCTAAAATTTATAGAAGCATTTTTAGGACACTTACATTAGCTTTGCTTTGATGTTAACCTACCTTTATTTACTACACTATACTCCCTCCTCCCGATATCTGTATCCCCGGTTTTGTTTAGATGGCCGTCCACTATCTTCCAATTTGAGAAAATGGAAACCAAATAAAGAGTAAATGACTCTTTTTCCCTTTCAACATTAAAGACCACCCATCCCATTTCTTCTTTCAAGTACTACATGAGCCTGGAAGCAGAAACAACGGCTACCGGAAGGAACTCCTGATCTAAAGGGAAATGGAAGCAACTCCTCTATCGTCTTAATATTGAAACAACATCAGACTGAGAAGAGTGATTGATGCAGGCACGGCTACACAAGCTAGAGTCTGGTGTTGCCATCGGAGAAGGCCACCTCGCACTCCCTAAAATCCCCCATCGCAATATGTGTTTGAAACAAATAGGACTATATTTAAGAGAGGCCCTGAGCACAAAAGATGTAGAGAAAAGATGGGAGGAAGTCCCCTTGGCAAACAGATGAGCATAACATTACTCCACTGTCCTCTGGTCACTCATGTCTGGATCTATTTTGCCTCAACCATTAATGGGACTTATGATACACAGATGAGCAACGTCAAACAACACTGCTTCATGTGGTTAAGCCTAAATATTTCAAAAGTTTTAAACTTTTCATAAGAAGTTGATGCATTTGCACATGTTAGTTACTGATATGGTATTTGCTAATTGTGCTTTCCCTCCAAAATAGGAATACCTGACATCTATTTTCAAAACCTGGATTTGGAGAAAGTGATCCTTATCACAAAAAGGAGTCTTGAGTCATCATCAATGGACATGCTGCACTTATCATCTTTCATATGCTGTGAATGTTAACTGAAATTTTGGTCGGATTCTCTAGTGCAAGTAGCAAGGCATGCCTGGGTTTATTTAATATTCCTCATAAGATTGCTGGTATGTAATCTGAACATGTGTGTGATAACTTATGATGGCATAAGTTCTTTTTCATTTGATTTAAATGTTTAAAATGTTCTTTTTTGAGAGCACCAGTCTCTAGAAATATGCACTAAAAATGTTTTTTTTAACTAGAGTGAAAAGCACTTTTTTCTGAGTAATTTCTATGTATTTTGCCAAATGATTCATTTACTAGGAAGAATTGACATTATACAGTGCATCATACACATCGGTTTTATGGAAAGTTCTGTCTTAAACCAAGAGGATTCAAATGCCAAATCGGGTGAAATTAGGTGTCGGTTCAGTGGTGGCTGCATCTGAAATAAAGTACTGAAGCATAGTGTAATAAAAAATAGGTAATAATTTACGGTATGTAATGAACAATCCCTAATTTCATCTCCCTTTTATTGAATTCCAATTTTTAGGGGTTTGTGAAATTGTGGTTATTGATTGTATTTGGATAGTTTGTTGGTATTTGATTGTTGGATACTTTGATATTTGATGTTTAGTAATTAATTCTTTTATATAGTGATAATTTATTGTTGGAATTTGTCAATATGGGATTTAATTCCTGGGTCTTAAAAGGAATGATAATCTGGTATTAGATTGAAACTTGTCAATTTGAGGACGTGTTCTAACTTTCCTTACAAACTTCCACCCGATTCTTCTTGAACTTTTCATGGAATATAATCTGAGCTTTTACATGGATTTAACAATCTGGAATGGTTTTGACTATTGCAGAATCTGAGGTGCATATCTTGTTTATATTAGCAGTATTAACTTTTATGTTTTATTTTGTCGTGTGGCTCTAATTCATCTCCCTCGTTCCTATAAGATTGTACTGTTTTCTTTGCAGCATTTGGACAAATGAGTATGAACCTGAGGTCCC